AAAACAGAGAATCTCACCGAACCATCCATATTAGTGAATCCATACATCCGAGGCACCTTTGTATAGTTCCCTTGTGACAATATATTCATGGGAGCATCTGATAAAAATATTTCTTGTCCATTATCACGTTCTACGCACGGTCCAAATCGTGAAGTAACGCCTTCGTTATTTATTATAGCGTCAGTTCGTGAAATTAGCTGCTGGATGCTAACGTTTTTATAGAATTCTTCTAAACTGTTCAAATCATTGACATTGTCGAAATTTAGTACCGCAGCGTAGTTCCTAGCATTTTGGATGGAATCAACTTGTGCTCCAACAGCGCCGATAACAGTACCACTCTCCTGAATAACTTGCTTAAAAAGACCATTGGTAAGACTCGACACAGTCAGGAAATCTAGCGAACCAGATCCAGCACTGCACGAAGATAAAGTCACATCATCAGGATTACCTCCAAAGCTAGCAATATTGGTGTTTACCCAACGAAGAAGTGCTACCATATCCTTTAGTCCCGCATTACCGGGAGCAGCTTCAGTGCCTAGACACAGGAATCCGTGCACTCCTAATCTATAGTTAAAAGATACTGAAATTATCTTTCTCTTTACTAATTCAGTAAACTGTCTCTGCAAACCAAAACCAAATTGGTAAGCTCCATCGTGAACATATACATGTACAGGTAAATTAGTCTCCTCTGTGTCGGGGATGAACACGTTGACCACAAGGCAATCTTCCTGGATGTTCATAGTTCTACTGGCAAAACGTTGCGGACACATAATCTTGCGATCTTCAGCTTCAAATGTTGTTAGCCATGTGGGTGGAGGACGAGGTGCCTGCACAAAATTATAATATATTACATGTATTTCTGATCGTTTATAAGTGTCTAGTTAACAGTCTATAAAGTAAATCCCTTGGATTATCTGAACAGGGTAGGTATTCCTTAAATTATATTAAAAGTAATTTTTATCAAAAAAACCTAATTTTATTCCAACACACGCACAAATTTCGAATTATTAGAGTTATGTACGACATATGAAACAATTACCTTATATCTGTCAGCTCCTGTTGGGGCAGACGCGTAAGGAATATTGTAGAATCCGTAGACGCCCCCACCAGGAAGCAGGCGTCCGCGCACTGGTCCTTGAGTTATATTTACAACACGCGATCCATCGCCTAAAACATCGGCGATACAGCAAAATAATACCACAAACTTCCACATCTTCAATGGTTTACTGCCCTCTCGATAATCTTAGACGTGACTGAGAATTATATTACCTCTCATCTCTTTAATATCGGCTAAGTATCAGTAATTTGTGAAAATTAAATAAGATAAAGTTAAAATCAATCATTTATCCAGTCGGGGAAATGTTGTTGATAATCTGTATAATCTCAATCAAACGAATAACGTATTTTGTATTAAATTAATTGAATAATTAAATTAGCTTTAGCACGTATCTTCGCTCCCGCCGTACTCAACCTTAATCTGACTGTTTTTGGGGAAAAAAAGTCATGACACTATGTGTGGCATTTATGCTCTTTGAAAATAAAACCACCCCGTTTTTAATCCTCGTCCGCGCCGTACGTTCAATGCAACTCCGATGGGTCTGGTATATAGCCCCATGCACACATCCGCGGTGGCGTTATAGAGGGACCTCCAAATACACCAAATCCGGAAACCCTACGGTGCAACACCTGTTACGGCACATCTAGAGATGGAAGTCCACGTGTCCGTACGTATTAGAACCTCTCTGTAAGCTGTGCATGGCGATATGTGGCATAGCTTTAATTACACTAGCCTTATATTCTGCTGGCCGAGACAGATCTCATCCGATCCGGTCTGCCAAGATCCGTTTTCATCACTCAGACGCCCACGCTGGACACATTGAATGTGCGGTTAGATGAGTCCAGGTCATATGCACGGTGATGGAAATTTGGCATCGATCGTCGATCAAGTCAAGACAAGACAAAATCATTTATTAGACCACAGAAGGCACTTTTGAACGTCAAGCAAAAAAGAGGAAAAAAGTATTTCAAGAGCTTTAACTTTAAGCGTGACAGTCTGTCCGTCTGTCCTCTAGTGAAGCTATTTACTCGTTCCAAGGTGCAAGAAACTCCATGGTTACTCTTTTTTAATCAGTTTTACAATTCATTTCTTTGTTACATCATTTAGTCGGTTCCGTTACGTGAGAACAGTGTAACACTAATGTTTAGGCAAAGAATCCGAAAAAGAAGTTAACCTCAAGGACAACATATTTAGACAGCTTGGAGACGACCAGTCCCATTTGGCGGCGCCCGTTCACGAACATGACACGTACACAAGCACCGCCCAACTCAACCATATTATAGGGAATCGAGCGATCCAGTGCCCGTCTGACCTTGCGAACCACCGTCAATGAGACCTCTGAGTGAACATGACGACTCCCAGCTGACACAAGTACCTATATTCTACAAGTCTAACTTAATTATAATAGGTAACAGGGCACTCACATTTACAAAAACTTTGAAATTCATCAACAATTACAACATGGTGTACAATTTAATGATTGAAATCAAAATTCCTCTTATAATCTTGTGGAGTAGGACCAGCTAGCCGCCAAGCATTTTTATCTTGTACTATATATAATCATTTAGTTTGTAGTATGCTAGTCTACATATTTTTTTCTTTGTACATAATTTAAATTTGCTTTCATTTAGATTATGAATTTCAACTGGGATTTTGTTATAACATTTGACACAAAATCCCAGGAATGTCTTATGCACTTTTGCCAATCCAAATAAAGGCTGACTTAATCTTTTACTATGTCTAGTATGATAATCATTTTTGTCAGATACCTTTACAAATAAGTGTAGGTTTTTCCTAACATACATAATGTTTTCATAAATAAATTGACTCTGTACGGACATAATGTTGATCTCCTTAAACTTTTCTCTGAGAGATTCGCGACAACCTAAGTTATAGATAGCTGTGACGGCACGATTTTGCAAGATAAGGATAGATTCAACGTCGGATGCCTGTCCCCACATCAGAATTCCATACGAAATGATGCTGTGGAAGTAGCTAAAGTGCACTAGTCTTGCCGTGCCTACGTCGGTTAGCTGCCGGATCTTCAAGACAGCATAAGCTGCATAGCTCAATCGTCCTGCTAGAGACCTGATGTGGGGCCCCCATGGCAACCTGTCGTTTACCCAGGAAAGTAGTCTCTTTTACAAATTCTAGTTTCTGATCATTTAATATTATATCTACACCTACGTTACTTTTAACATTTGGTAAAATAAATCTAATGCATTTAGTCTTTTTATCGTTTAGTAATAAGTTGTTTATTGTAAACCAATTTTGAACCTTCATTAAGGCATTATTAACGTCGTCATATTTGTTTGATTGTCTAATTATTTTAAAAATCAGTGAAGTATCATCAGCGAATAATACCATATGTGGTTCTTTTTGGAACAAATGGGGCAGGTCATTCACATAAACAAAAATAGAAAAGGACCTTATATTGAGCCCTGCGGCACGCCCATAGATACGCCCCTAGCACCATGTGAGTTTACTTCGTTGACTTGTACTTTAATTTTTTTTCGATGTCGATGGTGATGGATTAATCGACATAAATGTTTCTGGATCGTATTAACTGTGACGATATGTGTCTGCATTGTGTTCGACTTAGAATTACAAAATTTTTTCATTTCCATGGCTCTGTTTTTTTTTGGATGGGATGTGGACTTGTTTTATTGTCCTTCATTTACCGTTTCGTCTGGTTATAAAGGTTTTGCAAGAGTTATTTCGATACTTGAAAATTGAACAAGAGTATATCTAATATCTTGATTACCTTTTTTAATCATACACATTTTGTTGGTGTCGACGTGATGTCTATCATACTAATTATGTTTTCCTAAAATTGGTGTAACGTCATAAATGACGCATGAAAAGTGTGAAAACGTGAGTTCTAATCAAATTGAACAATTTCCCGAAATAACTAATCAAATGTGGTTTCGTAATTATTTTTACGCATGTATACTTATCAATCAACAGCTAGATATATTATGTTTTTATCAAGACACAAACGTGAAACGGAGCGTTTTTCGCTTTGTTGTTGATTTTTCTGTTTTTCTTTATAATAAAGTCGGGCTTTATAATAAAGTTAACATCAGAATAGACTACTAATTTTTCTAAACTCGAAATCAAAATTCGATTGAATAATAATGTGACTTAACTTGACACTTGCGTTCATTACCTATATATTAAGCCAAAACATTTGTTATGTTTTGACATTAATTAGGAAAAAATGTTGGTATCTCGTTCGTCATGATTAGTTGCTCGGGACAGTCCACTGCTGTACCTTGGGCTTGCCGGGCGTGCAAGCCAAATCATCCACAAACTGTAGCCCCGGCAAATGGTAGGAGTTGAAACGGGGTTGTTTGTAGTTACAGCATGTTAGGAAACCGACACTGCCCTTAGTGCCACTCAGGACGTAAGTCTGGGAGAGACATTCTCCGGCACGAATGGGTCGGCTCGACTGGAGTGACACAACCATAGCGTTGTGTTTCCCCGTGTGAGTGAAGTAACAGGAGGCGGAGGAGTAATACTTTACCCCCCCAAATTCCTCCCCAATCCCTTAATCTCCCAAATCCCTAATCCCCAAAAGGTAACTCCTCAATTGTTGCGGATGTCCATGGGCGTCTCTGATTGCTTACCATCAGGTAATCTGTCCACTCGTTTGCTGACTTATCCCATAAAAAAGAGTAGAAAAATCACAAAAAAAATGAAAATATTGTTATTAGATGAGTCGTAAAAAGTTATAATATTTCGAAGGAAGGAAATCTTTGTATTTTTTTATTAAAATCATGTCTAGTAAGTATCAAAGTAAAGCTACATTTATATCGAAAATAAATATTTACGTTAAGAAAATTTATTAAGTACATCATTATTTATTATTCAATCTATACTAATATTATAAAGAGGTAAAATTTGTAAGTTTGTATGTAGGGGATAATCTTGAACCGCTGGTCGGATTTCCAAAATTCTTTCACTGATAGATAGCTACAATTTTCCTGAGTGCTATAGGCTATAAAACATCACGCTTCGATTAAATGGAGCTGAGCAACGGGTGAAACCGCGCGAGAGTAGCTAGTATTACATAAGTTCACTTACAGTGAGTTAAATCTTAATACACGTTCAAAGTTAAATAAAAAGATAACAATAGAGCTACCAAAACTATGTTTGAGATAACTAAAGAAGAGGCGGCGCCAGGAGTAGGAGTAGGAGTCGGAGCGACAGGATCCGTGTCTAGAATGGGACCTCGGAAATGTTCTTCGAAGATTTCATCCCAGAAAGCTGCTCTCTCCGGAATAGGGCTGCTTTCCTTCAGCACTATGTCTCGACCCAAAGACATGTGAGGAGATCTTTGAGCATTCGCAGGTCTCCATGTTGGCAAACTGGGGTCACTGGATGATGGGTAACTGAAATAAACGTTGTGTGATTTTAAACAGTGGCCAAGTTGTAATAATTAATAAAAATTATATATCTATTCTAAGTATGAAAGTAAAGAAATATGTTTAAATCATAATTTACTAATCAACAGCCTATTTTAATATTAACTTCAGATAGATAAGCTTAGAATCTCACCCATTGGAAATGAAACTCATCCAATAATTTCTCACGATTTCCTGCATTCGCTTAAATTCATCTGTAGCAGTGGTTACATCTCCGTCCGAGACAATCATTTCTTGAGCACAATGTCTGGCACCAATTTCGTCAGTTTGTGGAAAACCTGGGGAATTCTCATCCACAAAGGTATATTCAAACAAATATATTGAATCTCCGAGAGCTTCTACACGAGTTGAAAGGGTTTTCAGCATTGGATATGAAAATAGAACATCAGTATTATAATAAATGTATGACAAAAAATTATGGTCACCCACGGGACTATCTCCAAAATAGAATTGTTTCACTCTCTCGGCAACTTGCTCTTTTACTTCTTCACTATCAAAGTGTAATTCTGAAGGTAAAAAATCTGAAAACTTTTCGTTCATCATTTCCTTCCATGTATCGAAAACTGAAAATCTCACCGAACCATCCATATTAGTGAATCCATACATCCGAGGCACATTTGTATAGTTCCCTTGTGACAATATATTCATGGGAGCATCTGATAAAAATATTTCTTGTCCAACATCTCGTTCTACACATGGTCCAAATCGTGAAGTAACGCCTTCATTATTAACTATAGCATCAGATCGTGAAACAAGTTGCTGGATACTAACGCTTTTATAGAATTCTTCTAAACTGTTCAAATCATTGACATTGTCGAAGTTTAGTACCGCAGCGTAGTTCCTAGCATTTTGGATGGGATCAACTTGTGCTCCAACAGCACCGATAACAGTACCACTTTCCTGAATAACTTTCTTAAAAAGACCATTAGTAAGACTTGACACAGTCAGGAAATCTAGTGCACCAGATCCAGCACTACACGAAGATAAAGTTACATCATCAGGATTACCTCCGAAACTAGCAATATTAGTATTTACCCAACGAAGAAGTGCTACCATATCCTTCAGTCCCGCATTACCGGGAGCAGCTTCAGTGCCTAGACACAGGAATCCGTGCACCCCTAATCTATAGTTAAAAGATACTGAAATCATTTTTTTACTTCTTACTAATTCAGTAAATTTTTCCTGTAAACCAAAACCAAATTGGTAAGCTCCGCCGTGAATATAGACATGTACAGGTAAATTAGTTTCTTCCGTGTCGGGGACGAACACGTTGACCACAAGGCAGTCTTCCTGGATGTTCATAGTTCCACTGGCAAAGCGTTGCGGACACATAATCTTGCGATCTTCAGCTTCAAATGTTGTTAGCCATGTGGGTGGAGGACGAGGTGCCTGCACAAAATTATTTACGTCAAGTTCCTGGATGTTGAAAGTAGTAAAATAATTTACTTTTAACGTTGAGTACCTTTGATTGCTTACGAAAATAAAGTCAATTCTTATTGTAAGTACTGTTTTGTAGACAGAAAATAGTTACCTTATATCTGTCAGCTCCTGTTGGAGCAGACGCGTAAGGAATATTGTAGAATCCATAGACGCCCCCACCGGGGATAAGGCGCCCGCGCACTGGTCCTTGAGCTGTATTTACAACACGCGATTCATCGCCTAGAACATTGGCGATACAGGAAAGTAACACAAAAAATGACCACATCTTCCTCACAATGACTTACTGCCCTTCAACAACTATACGTATACGTGACTGAGTCGTTATATTTGCATCTCTTCTCTTTAATATCGGCTTAGTATCAGTAATTTATAGAAATATTAATTGATAATGATCAATAATTTATACAACCGGAACAATATCGTTGTTAATCAGTGCTATCCAATCTCGATTTTTATTAAGTAGTTATGATTAAACGAATTAATGTGATTACTACATTATTTGTTTATGTCCGGACTGAGGAACTTGTGACTGTGGTGAGTTACGCTAAGCTTAAATAGACTTAATTATATACCAGTGTGGTTAACAGTGGAAAAAATTATTATACTTACTCGTAGTAAGAATCCTGAATTAAAAGAATTATGATATCGTTTCCACTTTACACAAAAACCAGAATAATGGATTTCTATATCAACGCGAACAAGAGGAAGCAAGAATGATGCTCATCATCAGCCTGTTGTCGTCCACTGATGGACATAGGCCTCCCCAGAATTATCCTACCAGATCTGAAATCTGTTTCGCGTTGAGATGGAAATCCGTTGTGGTTTTTGTTAAGCTAGTTAATTAAGTTGTTGATAAGCCGGTAAAGAAAAAGCAGAAATAAATAAGAAAAAAGTCCTTGTATAAGAGTCACTAGATATAGAGGGTGACTTTGATACCGCTTGGTAATACGTTCTAGAACCATCATCAGTAGACAGAAAGTGTCCTAGGAATCCATACACCCTGATATACTCCTACCTCACTAAACGAAAGACAAGGTTATAAATGCCGGAGCTTATTGCGGAAAGGTAAAAAAGGTAGCGTTTAACAGTGAACCAACTTTCTGAAAACTCATCTTTGTTTCGTTACTCTACGGACTGACAAGTAAGAGAGCTTATTGCCAGGCCTGTGCGGATAAAGTGTTTTTCTGTTTCTCTTCATATAGAGCATCTTGGAGCTATCGGTAAATGATGCTTTGGAAATAGTGAATGCCTGGGATGGATCGAGGATTAGGCTTAGGGTTGGAGCAAACAAAATGGCCAATACAACGATCGATTGAACAGTAACTCGTTTTTAATCCCCATGATCTGTCCAGGACATATCAGGCACCAAGCTGAATCTCATTGATGAGATAAAGTTCTTTGGAAATAGACAGTCGCAGACACGTCCAAGAAAGCTGCAGTCATGTATAAACACCTAGCAAGTGCGGCTACCGAAAATAATCTAAGTTGCGGTTGTTGAGCCGATTGTACTTCGTGCTACGAGCTTATAATCTCCAGCGGCGGAGCTACAGTTGTTTCAAAAGCAGAGAGAGTAAAGATCTGTAGAGGTTATTGTACAGTCTTGCTTACGTCAGCAACTTACGGTCTTATTAAACTCACTTCCAGTTGACTTAAGAATTACAGAGGGTTCCAGGTTGTATCAAACCCAAAGGTGATTCTCTCTGGACTGTTTACTACCTGAAAAGGAGCTTGAAAGTCTTACCTTACCTACTGAACCAGTACCCGGTTGCCGGACACTAAGTTCCTATAAATTTGTTTATCCCACAGGCAAGTCCCTTCATCGACATTATGGTTCCACCCGAAATCCCACCACAAATCAAATGAATGAAACAATCAATCAACCTGCTAGCTACATTTTCACATTTTCGCATTCGTTTTTTAACACTTTATCAGTATTGATGTTTGAAATATTTCCAAAATGTCAGTTGTGTTCTGATCCTTGTAGAAACGACCATCTTGTAAAACCAAATAAGTTTTTTTTAAAGGTTAAAAACACATCTATGTAACTATTTAGGTGTGTTTTTATTTTTGAAGCGAAATATCGCTCCGGCTACAAAACTTAAAAAAATAAAAAAACTTAGATACAAGACCTATAACAATAGGTCATGATGTTTTTTTATGTTATATTTCGGCAAACAAGCAGTTGGATTACTCGAGAGTAAGCAATCAGCGCCGCCCACAGAGACTTGCAGTACCAAAGGAGTTATAACAAGTGCGTTGCAGGCCGCCTGCGGGTGATAAGGGATTTAAGGATAGGGGATTTGAGGATGAGGAGATATGGGGATAGGAGGGAAGAATTGTGTCTGTGGTAACCTCATTCACGCGCGAAACACAATATAAGTGTCAATTCACGCTAGACCTTTGCGAGGCCGCGTATCACCCCGGTCGATCCGCTTGGCTTGATTGGCTCTCCCACAATTGTGTTGTATATATGGCACAGTACAGATTTTTTAGGTCAACCAAATCACGTAGTCAGTAATGTTGCCAGCCACTACGTAGCGTTCCACGCACTCCTTATACAGCCATCAGACCATCGAACTACCAAAATTGCGGGCTAAAGAGCACCGGGAATTGCTTTCTACCCATTCAGGGTGGGAGGAGTCATGTAATGTATACTACGCTGGATATTATAAACTTTCCCAATGCTAATATAATTCTATTAATAAATATAATATCAGTTTTTAAACTGTACTTATACATATGTTTTGGGACGGTTAAAGTTTAGTTTATATTATTTTCTAAAGAAAAAATATTCTAATCAAGAAAGTTAAAATAGCTTCCATTTATGAGGTTGAGTTGGTTGATCAAATAAATAGACGCATACATACACATATTTATTGTACAAAAATGTATTGAAACCTACCTTAATCGAAGTTCAAAGTGAAATAAAAAGAAAACAATAGAACTACGAAAATTGTGTTTGAGATAACTAAAGAAGAGGCGGCGCCAGGAGTAGGAGTAGGAGTCGGAGCGACAGGATCCGTGTCTAGAATGGGACCTCGGAAATGTTCTTCGAAGATTTCATCCCAGAAAGCTGCTCTCTCCGGAATAGGGCTGCTTTCCTTCAGCACTATGTCTCGACCCAAAGACATATGAGGAGATCTTTGAGCATTCGCAGGTCTCCATGTTGGCAAACTGGGGTCACTGGATGATGGATAACTGAAATAAACGTTGTGTGATTTCAAACAGGGGCCAAGTTGTAATAATTAATAAAAATTATATATCTATTCTAAGTATGAAAGTAAAGGATTATAAATCAGAATTTAATAATTAACAGCCTATTTTTATATTAACCTCAGACAAATAAGCTTAGAATCTCACCCATTGGAAATGAAACTCATCCAATAATTTCTCATGATTTCCTGCATTCGCTTAAATTCATCTGTAGCAGTAGTTACATCTCCATCCGAGACAATCATTTCTTGAGCACAATGCCTGGCACCAATTTCTTCAGTTTGTGGAAAACCTGGGGAATTCTCATCCACAAAGGTATATTCAAACAAATATATTGAATCTCCGAGAGCTTCTACACGAGTTGAGAGGGTTTTCAGCATTGGGTATGAAAATAGAACATCAGTATTATAATAAATGTAAGACAAAAAATTATGGTCACCCACGGGACTATCTCCAAAATAGAATTGTTTCACTCTCTCGGCAACTTGCTCTTTTACTTCTTCACTATCAAAGTGTAATTCTGAAGGTAAAAAATCTGAAAACTTTTCGTTCATCATTTCCTTCCATGTATCGAAAACAGAGAATCTCACTGAACCATCCATATTAGTGAATCCATACATTCGAGGCACATTTGTATAGTTCCCTTGTGACAATATATTCATGGGAGCATCTGATAAAAATATTTCTTGTCCAACATCTCGTTCTACACATGGTCCAAATCGTGAAGTAACGCCTTCATTATTAACTATGGCATCAGATCGTGAAACAAGTTGCTGGATGCTAACGCTTTTATAGAATTCTTCTAAACTGTTCAAATCATTGACGTTGTCGAAGTTTAGTACCGCAGCGTAGTCCCTAGCATTTTGGATGGGATCAACTTGTGCTGCAACAGCACCGATAACAGTACCACTCTCCTGAATAACTTTCTTAAAAAGTCTATTGGTGAGACTCGACACAGTCAGGAAATCTAGCGAACCAGATCCAGCACTGCACGCAGATAGTGTCACATCATCAGGATTACCTCCGAAACTAGCAATGTTAGTATTTACCCAACGAAGAAGTGCTACCATATCCTTCAGTCCCGCATTACCGGGAGCAGCTTCAGTGCCTAGACACAGGAATCCGTGCACTCCTAACCTATAGTTAAAAGATACTGAAATTATCTTTCTCTTTACTAATTCAGTAAACTGTCCCTGCAATCCAAAACCAAATTGGTAAGCTCCGCCGTGAATATAGACATGTACAGGTAAATTAGTTTCTTCTGTGTCAGGTATAAACACGTTGACCACAAGGCAGTCTTCCTGGATATTCATGGTTTCACTGGTAAAGCGTTGCGGACACATAATCTTGCGATCTTCAGCTTCAAATGTTGTTAGCCATGTGGGCGGAGGACGGGGTGCCTGCACAAAATATCATTTATTATGTTTAATTTTGAACGCTTATAACTATCGTAGTTGCTGTAAGAATATTACTTCGATTGGCTACGAAAAAAGTACATTTAAAAAGTTATTGTTGAACTGTATGCAATTAGAAAACAGCCTTATTTAAATCTCACAAGAATGTGACTAAAATGGACTTAGAATATTAGCATTTTCTAAATAAAAAAAAATCTAATGTTTTGTAGAAAATATAAAACAATTACCTTATATCTGTCAGCTCCTGTCGGGGCAGACGCGTAAGGAATATTGTAGAATCCGTAGACGCCCCCACCAGGGAGCAGGCGCCCGCGCACTGGTCCTTGAGTAATATTAACAACACGTGATCCATCGCCTCGAACATTTGCTAAACAGCAAAATAACACTAAAAACTTCCACATCTTCCACTCAATGGCTTACTGTCCTCTCAACCACAAAAGACGTGACTGAGAATTATATTACCTCTCTTCTCTTTTATCGGCTAAGTATCAGTAATTTATAGAAATTAAAAAAGATAAAGTCGAAATCAATCATTTATTCAGCCGGAAATACATCGTTGTTAATCAGTGCCAATTTAATCAAACAAATACATGTATCGAATAGGTCGATATTTATTTCGATTTTCAGTGATTAAGCGAAAACTCGTGACTGTGGTGAGCCAAGAACAAAAACATGGCCATCTTTAACATCTGGTGGCAGTTTTCTACTGGTAAGACACTGGTACTGGTAGACATAAGAAAAGTTACCATAATACCACATCTGGCAGGTAGCTTGGAGATCATAGTTTGAAGAATTAGGTGTGACAGATAGCACTATCTTTTTATATGAGATACGTCAGCAAATAGCAGACGAACCACCTTATGGTAAGCAATCAGCACCGCGACACGAAAGGAGTTACGCCAAATCGTTTTAGGAGTTGTTAGGCATTTGGGGTTAGAATTTTGGGGATGGTGGATTCTGCGAGACCAAGGTTTCGTTCTGGTCGAACCGGCCCATTTGTGCCGAGCCAAGGCTCTCCCACATTATGTTAAATTTTTTACCACACTCCAAATTGCACCAGATGACTCAATAAAACGCACTTCTTATCTGATTTCTTTTTTATTTTATCACACTATATAGAAGACCCTTATTTTTGGACCTAAAATCGGCTACGGTATTTAGAGTTTATCGTAATTCGTTTATTGTACACTAATAATTACTCATCTGGATCAGCGAGTACCTTTTCTTAAATAATATAGGTTTACAGAACTATTGCTTAATTTATGAAAACGTTTGAAATAAAAGGGATGCTTTTATTTCAAACGTTTTAAATAATAAAAACTAACTTATTTAAAACTATAACAATCAAAATGTTTCATATCGAACAGATCTGGCTTATTATTTGCTACCAATTTAAAACAGCAATGGTAACTGTCATTAAGATTATTATTTTAGAAATCATTGTGGAGGTTGCACCACCAGTATAGCTATCAGGTACCAATGGACCTCGGTAGTGTTCCTCGTAGATGGTATCCCAGAAAGCTGCTCGGTTTCCCAAAATATCATCCCTCAGCTCTATGACGGGACCTATAGACATATGTGGAGATCTTTGTGCGTTCGCTGGTCGCCATAATGGAAAACGTGCGTCACTTGATGTCGGTGCCCTTAAATGAAACGTTACATAAGTTTGAATGTAAGAATATTCTTAAATTTAATTCAAACGGTAGACGAATACTAAAGAGACTGATCTTAAGAAAATAACATAAAATGAAGCAGACCTTACCCAGTCAGTATAAAGTTCAATGTGTATTCTCTGGCTATTTGCACCATCCGCCTGTATGCATCTGTTCTACCGGTAAGGTCTTGATCACGAACTGCTCTTGATTGGAAGCAATGTTGAGCTCCACGAACGTCAGTATGTGGAAAACTTGGTGTATCTTCGTCCACAAACGAGTACTCAAACAGATAAATTGTGTCGCCAAGAGCTTCTACTCGAGCTGACAAAGATTTCAACATTGGATATGCAAATAACACATCGGTAAAGTAAAGAAGAAATGATACCATTGTGTCTTCACCCACATCGCTATCGCCAAAATAAAAGTTTTTGACTCTCTGAGCAACCTGTTCTTTCACTTCGTCGTCATCAAAATGCAATTCCGCTGGTAAGAAATCTGAGAACTTCTCATTCATCTGATCTTTCCAAGTATCGAAGTAAGGAAGTCTCATTGCGCCTTCCATGTTAGTAAATCCATATAACAGAGGGACCTTAGTATAATTACCACGCTTGATAACGTTCATCGGTGCGTCTGTGATAACTCTCTCCTCGCCAATATCTCTTTCCACGCATGGAGCAAATCGAACGGCAGTATCCTTGTTGTCTACTATTTCATCAACACGAGAAGTCAATAGTTCAAACGGAGCAGTTCTATAAAATTCTTCTAAACTTTCTAAATCATCGACATTATCAAAATTTAGTACTTTAGCGTAATTCTTCGCATTTTGGATGGGATCAATTATTACACCGACAGCTCCTGTGCTACTGCCACTCTCTAAAATAGCTTTCTGGAATAGGCCTGTGGTGGCACTGGAGAGTGACAAAACATCCAACGCACCAGAACCCGCGCTGCAGGCGGCCAGTGTCACATCTTGTGGGTTACCACCAAATCTAGCAATGTTGGTATTTACCCAATGTAGTAGTGCTACCTGATCCTTAATCCCTGCGTTGCCAGGGGCACCTTCAGTGCCAAGACATAGGAATCCATGGACACCTATTCTATAATTAAATGAGACTGCAATTAGTTTATTTGTTCGCACCAATTCTCGGTATTGACCAGAAAGGCCATGACCATTCTGGAAAGCTCCTCCATGGATAAACACCAAAACGGGTAGATTGGTGTCTGTGGTATCGGGGACGAACAGGTTGACAACCAAGCAATCTTCCTGCGTGTGCTCTAGTACGTTGGGCTGCGGGCAGCGGATGTTTCTGTTTACAGCATCGAGCGGTGACATCCATACCGGTGGAGGAAGGGGAGGCTATAAACAATAGAAGAAAGTTTAAGAAATAATACTTTACTCAAAAAAAAATATTTATAAACTCTAAAACCATGAATTCATTATTACCAAAACAAGTATCAATTTTCTGAATTAGTTTACATACCTTAAACCTGTCTCTCCCCGTGGGTGCAGTAGCATATGGTATATTGTAGAACACGTAGAGACCACCATCAGGATCCTTACGGCCGCGCACTGGGCCTTGTGTTATATTCACCTGAAGCCAATCATCATCTTGGCCTTGCACCAGTACTAGGATACTACAAAACACAAGCGTACCACAATTCCACATCTCGACCAAGCTTCCAAGTTAATGTGAAATTATCTTCTTGTTCAGTGTTTGTTTTATATGCACTCAATGAAATATCTGTATCCTATCAAGCTATCTATCTAAGGAAGATAAAATTCAACAAAAATAGCAACTACATATATTAGAGATCTTTAGCAAAAGTATACGTAAAAAACTGCAATTTTATTTTTTTCCTCAGTGAAAAAAACATTTCGATATAATTTAAAAATTTATCATATTCCTTATCTGTATGAAAAATATCGCTGAAAATATTTAATACTAGGTACTCTCGCGCAGTTTCACCCGCTGCTCGGCCCCATTGAATCGTAGCGTGATGTTTTATAGCCTATAGCACTCAGGAACATTGTAGCTATCTTTCAGTCAAAGAATTTTGGCAATCCGACCAGTGTCTTCTCTAATCCGACAAATTTTACTTCTTTATAATATTAGATGATGGCGTCACAAGCCTGTCTTTCATTCCAAATTTTAGTTTGTTTACATTTCGGATGAATAATGAATTTGAATAGCTGTGAAAGACCGTATTATGAATTATATGACATCGTACAACGATTTCTGACCACCTGAAGCGCGGGACTGCGGACGGCGAGCACGACTGGCTTGAATTTGACTGCACGGTTGGTGCGACGGCTGGGCAACTGGCTGCCGTGCAACGTGTCGCGGGTTCGATTCCCAACTAACAACTCTATGTGTGATCCACATAGTTGTTCCGGGTCTGGGTGTCGTGTGTATGTTACATTTTATGTTTATAACCGCACCCACGACACAGGAGAAAATCCTAGTGTGGAACAAAGTTTAAAAAAAAAGAATAAAAATGAAGAGAAAACTAGACTTGAACTATAGGTCCGAGCGTAATGCGCGTTGCGTTCCGCGCCTGCCCATTTGAGGTGCTACTCAAATGAGGTCGGAGGACGAGAAGGAACGGGTTTCTGACTAAAGACCAACCCAAATTTCAACCGCAAAAAAATAATATGGCCTTTTATCCTCGATTGTAACCTTATGATTTGCTTAATATTAACTGAATATAAATTGAAGAAAGGGCTTACTGAAGGACATTTACATTTAATACATCTGATACAATTATTTTGTTATCAAAATATGTTTTTAGTTAAATTTTTACAATTATTTTTATTTTATTTAAAAAAAAACGTTGCCCGACCCTGGAATATTTTCTTGTATCGTGGGTGCGTTTACGAACACACAATTTCACATGGACATTACACCCAGACCCGAGACAATAATTTGTGGATCACACAAAGAGTAGTTCCGTGCGGGAATCAAAACCGCGACACATTGTGTGGCAGCCAGTTGCCCAGCCACCGCGCAACCGTGCAGTCATAAGATAAGTCTTGTGACTATTAATGGAGTCGTTAAATCATAAAACGATCCATTGTCGACGAATAAATATTTTGCCTGATGGTTGATCAGGGACACGATTGTGTGGGTGAGGCAATGAGTAACAATTTCATTTTATTTAAACTTAAAGAATACACCACTTATAATAATGTAACTGTTAGTTCGTGCTCAAGTAATTTATGAGCTCTGATCGTGTCTTGAAACTAATCGAGCAATATTTTGAATATCTCATGGTCCTACAGATGACCATCATACATAATATTTTATATACAGAACCAAAATATAAATAGATAATCTAATCAAATAAAAATACTAAACGATGTGCTAGGGGTATTCACAAGTTGTATACACACGTTCGCATTTTATTACTGCTTGTAAAGAGATTAATATATATTTATTGCTCTATTTACTTACACGTTTTATTGTAAAGATAAATTTATTATCCGTGACTTAGTAAGACTCAAAAAATGGTGAAACACAAAACTTTTTTTTAAGTGACTTCTTAACGAAGCTGCTTATTATTTGCCGAGTGTTCGAAAATTTGACATCATTCTTAATAAATACATAATATATGAAGAAGTTCTTGATTCTCATGTATTCATTACCCGTCCATATTGGATCCGTGATACTATTTAAGATTGCCATTTCAGATAGGCAAAAGTCTAAGGTGCTTTCAACAGGTCCCTCCAACATTATCAGATTGGTAGACTAAAAAATGAGATATACGACTATGTATGGATAAAAGATGAGATATAAAATATGAGATATTTGTGCATATTTTATTTGCATATCGTTCCATGATATATATATGTACTTATTAAAAATACATACTATAAGATACTAAAATGATTCGCAAATAAATTACTTTAACTTTTCATATCTATTAAGAAGCTAGCGGTCGCCCGGCTCCACCTGCGTGGATGTCGATGTTACACTTTTCAAGATCCCGTTTTTTGTTTTAATTTTTCCTGAATTGTTATAAACCTCACGGAGTCCGAGACCTTTCCAACAAATGCAAAACCGAGGAAATCGGTTCGTGCGTTCTGGGGTGTGATTCTGTAAGACTTCATTCTAAACTTCGAATCTGAATCCGCTGTGAGTAGTAGTACACTAGCGCTACACTTGCGAGTTGAACTAAATTGACAGCAACATTTTGATAGATAAAGTATAAGATGACGTTAAAAGTGGCATTCTAAAATTTAATTTCCTCGTTACTTCGACGCTCACTTCGCACTCGAACAAGATTCAAAATCAAACAAATTTTATAGAATCGACGTGCTGGAGTTATACTTACTCGTATGTATATGGAGTTATACCTATACTTGTTAATGAAAAAAGTTTTTTTTTTGCTTTATTTAAAATGGTCAATATAGTAAAAATAATGTCATCAATATAAATTTTCCGAGTTACCCATTAGGAAACCACCTACAGATTTGTCTAGAAGTAACCAATTACCAAAGCGCTTTTTTAACAGCTGCACTGTCATACAATATGTTTTATAGGATATTTTTCACTCTCTTCATATGAAATAGTTACCGACCATGTGTTACCGTCATGCTATTCTTCATAATATACTGTTACGTGCCTGACGTCACGTTCCTGACTATGCGGGCTTGGGTTACGGGATTGGATGAAATGAAACACTAATACCGGTTTTCAGACTTTCTATTGCGCTTAAGTTACAGCGTCCACGGAGTTAAGTTATCGGCGTTCCTCTCCAGCAGAGTCCGGCCGACTGACACAACTTTGCCGTTCACGCTAACTTCACTTAACTGACTGCACTTCACTATTTCACTCACTTTTCTTCTATTTCACTTCTTCCTTTTCTTCCGAATCGCTTTAGACTTAGAACTCAACTGCCAGCGGTGAGCCGCAGTTCCGCTTATATACCCCCGGTCAGGTTCTAGAACATTCAATTTCGTTATTCTTTTTTGATCGTCATGCCTCCAGAACCTTCCAATAATTTCGTTATTCATTTTTATTTATTCTCCTTCTCGCTCCTTAATTTTTCATTACTTTCACTCAAATATTCCAGAAAGTTCGACAAAACTTCCATCAACTAAAAAACTTCATGTTTACGGCGGGACTCGAACTCGGGGTCTCTGTGGTGTAATCCACACGCCTTACCGATTACACCAACTCGTGTTGACAATTCACGACGAAATTTACAATCTCTAGGCAACGTTTGACAACCATCCATTGACGTCATGATGTCAAAGAGTTTTCTGTCACACTGCCCCCCTCTTAGATTCGCTCGTCCCGAGCATCGTTGCTGCCGTAATACCTCGCCAACCTGTCTATATGGACAACTTTCAAAGGGCTCCTTGAAGACTTCCGAATTCTGTAAGTAATGTCATTGATCTTTGTGACTATCTCGTAAGGACCTTCCCAACTCGGTTGCAGCTTTGGAGATTTTCCCTTCCTTCTGACTGGATTATGAAGCCAGACCAATGACCCCTCTTCAAACCCAACAGAATTGGCTCGTCGATCATAGCGCGTCTTTGCGCGATCACTAGCTTGAAGACCGGCCTCCCTGATCTGCTCATAAATGTCCAACATTTTTGCCCTTAACTCGCTTATGTAATCGCTAAACTCGGTGCGAGAGTCACCAGGTGGACAGCCCGATACAAGATCTGCCGGTAATCTCAATTCCCTTCCAAAATTTGCAAATGCAGGCGTCTTTGCGGTACTTTCATGTACAGCAGTCCGATAGGCAAGCAAGAAGAGAGGTATGTAAGTGTCCCAATCTCTCTGATGGCTGTCAACCACCTTTGCTAAGTGTCGCTCCAATGTTTGGTTGAAGCGTTCGACCATTCCATCTGACTGTGGATGATAAGGGGTCGTTCGAGTCTTATGGATTCCCAAAAGTTTACAAGTTTCCTGGAAAACTTGGGATTCAAAGTTCCGTCCTTGATCACTGTGCATCTCCAAGGGCACTCCGAATCGGGTGAATACCTCGTTTACCAACTTCGTGGCTACAGTTACTGCCTCTTGATTCGGTATGGCAAAGACCTCCGGCCATTTTGTAAAATAATCCATAACCACTAAAACGTAGCGATTGCCCGAATCAGTGATTGGAAATGGTCCAGCGATGTCTAAGGCTATTCTCTCCCAAGGCATACCAACATTGTAGATTTTCATCGCCCCTCTGCTTCTTGTTTGTGGACCCTTGACAGCTGCACAACTAGTGCATTTCCGGCACCAATCTTCGACGTCATATTTGCAATGCAACCAATAAAACCTCTCCTTGATCTTCACCAAAGTCCTCCTAATTCCCAAATGTCCTCCAGAAGATCCATCATGGAACGCTTTTAATACATCCCTTATTTTTGAACGAGGCACCACCAATTGCAAATGCTCGTCCTTGCCGTTTGTTGATTCCCATTTCCTGCACAGAAGTCCGTTATGCAGCGTAAGGCTTTTCCACTGTGCCCATAAACCTTTCGTTACCGCGCTATATTGGGCGACGTCACTCCAACTTGGCTTGTTACCACTTCGTAGCCACTCCAGTATTGGTTTGATATCTGCATCTCTTTCCTGTTCTAATTTCATCGCATCATCTCCCCATGCCTCGTCAACAGTATCAGTCCTTATCACCTTAAGAAAAGCAGTTTCCTTCTTGGCACAATGCTTGCAATCTTCCACGCATGGGCGTCTCGATAATGCATCTG